GTTTTAGTTTATCTTTGTTGTTGAAAGTATTACAAATGTCCCCTTTTCCCCCAACCCCATTGATTTCCTCCACCCTGCACCCCCCAGGCCTTCACCACACTATTTTTAATTAAAATAAATTTTATTTCAAAACTCTATTCCACATTGATGTCCGTGGTTTCAAAAAGGAAAAACAAACTGAACTTGAAATCCAGGAGCATATTTAAGTTGGGTTTCTGTAGGGTTAACTCCAGAGCTGTTTAATTTGAGACACTAGACACAATTTCTCTAGGGCCTGGATCGTGGTGCTAAGAAAACAGAAACGGCTGAAGAATTCTTGCTGAGTCAGGGAAGGACCAGGGATCATCCTCAGGAGCTCCTCCTGGAGTTTACAGATGTTTTCCATCTGAATGCATAGTGGCAGTTCGATTTCCCTTTAGGTGGATTTAGTGCTTTTTAATTGGGAGCAGATTTGCTGGGAGATGAATATTCACGAAGCTGGAATATTTCACTCACCTCTTTAGGGGCGTCAGCCTCAATGAATTCAGAATAGATCGTCTTGGCTTTGGAAGCGATTTTTTCTGTGCTTTCCGTTTTCTTGAAGTCCTCGCAGGCAAGCCAGAACTCAACATTCTCTTCACTGAACTCTGATTTCAGGAATGTTCGGAAAGCCTCGAGACCGGCTACGAAATAATATGAGTGAAATTTTGTAAACCATGCAACTCAGTAACACGACCAACATAAGTACTGGTGCAGTGGGAGCGCTTATTGAGCGTTCAGTGGCAAACGTTTATCACTCCTCTCAATACAACCTTTACATGTTTCGGGTTTTAACTTTAAAAACCTCACTTGAATCAGTTGAAATAAACATAAAATATCGTATCTGTAGTTCTACAATGAGCTCCATTAACAAAGAAAACCTGTGCGTTTTCTCTTTAGATCTGAGAAGTGCAGCAGTTACGTTTGGGGGACGGTCTTGATGTCAGATACTTCATAGAAAACCCCATTGACTTTGCTTTTTTAGACCCACTGCACTGAGCCCAGACCAAGTTAGTGATGTTGCTCATGTAGAGTAAGAATTTCTTGGTTGTTATGAGTTATTGAAAAACACACAAGTTGATACTGAAAAGTTAGGTTGTGTTGGTTTATTAAAGGAAAGGAGGAGGGGCTGGCATTTGTTAATTTTGGGTGAATATACTGGCCAACTCTAATCTCTAAACGAAAAAGTAACTGGCAGGATATTTGGTGTGAATGCTTCTCCCTGTTTTGTGGTGATAGGTGGATTAAAATAGACTTAACAATGTTAAAAAAAATTTTTTTGCAATAGAGTTGAAATAACAAGTCATTGCAAAAGGTTATCGGGTGCCAATTAAAATTCTCAGTAGAAATATTGGAGTGTGGATGTTGTTAATAAGTGAGCACTATAAAAAATTTAATTAACTGCACGCTTTCTGAATTTAAAAATACACCCAAGGAGCTTCTGTGACACACATTTAGGTTATAAAAACCGTCTTAGTAGCCCTTAATGAAAATTTTCTCTGAGTTTGGTCCAAACAGTGATGAATTTGAGGGTTCTAAACAGAATTGATGATAAAATATATTTTATATCGAGGATAAAGCATAGTTTAATGATACCGAAAGGGTATTGTAGGTTGATGAAGGCATAGAAGCCTTTTCCCAGTGAGGTTAATTTAAGCAGATCCCAGAGAGGTGGGAAGTTAGAGACCAAGAATCGATTACTTTCTCCCATCCTGTGATGTCAGTGAAGGACTATTCTGAACTAACAGTTGTTACCAACTTCGGACCCGATGGGATGGACTAGACACCCAGACCTGGAGCTGGTTACCTCTGTCTGGGACACACTCTTTATTGAACTGTTTTTCTGTCCTATACATATAATTTCAATGTTCAAAAGCCGTCAAGTGAATTTGGAAATAATGTGCTACATACAGTTAAAATCTGATTATCTGAGCCGCGCTCTGAGGAGTGGAACGGCTGTTGGTCGGATCCAGCAGGCGCTGACGAGAGGAAGGATGGAGTGATCGCTGGGGAGACCTGCTCCGGGGCCTGTGCCCAGGAGGTGCCTGTGCCATGGAGGCGTCCCCTCGATCAGCACCGTTAGATAACCTGGTGAGTCACTGAATTGTCGAGAGCTTTAAAAGGCTCTGGTGTTATAAAGTACAAGAACCAAACAGCTGTTCCGATGGATCTGCGACTTTCCCACACGGTGTGGGCATGAAGTACAAATCCCCGGAGATGCGCGTAGGGACGCGTGTGCTGTGGTCGGCTCAGTTCTAAGGGACAGTCCCCTGCTCCGCCCACGGGCAGAGAAACTCTGCTCTGAGCTCACCCAGCCTGTCTCACTGTTTATACATTTAAGGGAAAAGAAAACAAATCGTGCCATTCGAAACTTACAAAAATGCAACCCCGTATCCTTGAGGCGGTTTGTAGCTGACCTGGTTGAATTCTTGGGCTACTGTGAATTATTTTATGTTTATGCTTTAGAAATGAGTTATTTACGAGTGATGAAAATTAGAGTATAATTTCACTGAATTCAATATAAGTCTATATATAAAGAATTTATTCAGCTTCATGTGTTAAACTTTTCTAATATTCTGATATTTACTTTATGAATTTAACACGGAAATACCATTTGATTAGTTCAAACAATGCAACATTTAAAAAATATTCTACAGAAGTCTGGTGTCATTTCCCCCCCCATTTGAGATGAAACTGCTGCAAAGCAGAATGATTTATCAGAAGGCCCAGCGACCATCATCGGTGACTATTTTGTATCATCTGGGATCCTTTATTTATAATTGGCCCAAATTACCTTAGTGAGCCACCATATCTAATATAAATACATCTCAGCACATGTACATATTATATAAACACATACATTTAAATATGGTTCTGTATTTGCTAAAAATAAGAATAGCTCAGTTGAAATAAATACTTTATACACTTTATTTTGGCCTACAGAGCATGAAAAACAAGTGATTTTTCTAAATTCTTAACTTTTCAATAGTTTGTATGTTTCTTTCAACTTGTAACAAAAATAGTCATTATACACAGCAAATGACAACCAGTCTAAGGAAACGACAGATTCCTCACTTGCTTTCTCTTTTGATGCTTGGAGTAACCCTGTTTTATTTTTGGCCCAACCTAATTCCATTTAGACCACGGGCCTGTATAAATTTGTGTGACTGTGGAAAATCTTATACTTTGAATATTGATCGAAGTCATACTACATAGTATGTCTGTCACTTTCAGGATTTAACAATTTGCCTTTAAGTGCTGTGTTTTCAGACCTGTTCTCGGTTGGTTCTTACCTTGGTTGGCTAAGAGAGTGTCCATGTTTTCACACCACGCCACTGTTTCTGTCGTCGGCGACCTGTAGAAACAGCATCTACCCTTGACAATAGCATTGTGATCTTTTTCTTCTACAACCTATGGTAATATTGGAGTTACCTGTATTTGTTGAATCGCATCATTTACATGAGCTTTGTGCCATTGATTAAACTGCAAAAGGTCAACCAGAATTATACA